ATATATATATGTATATATATTCCCACTATCTTTGTTCTTTTTAGCCAAAAGTTAAGTTTCATAGAAGGAAGCTCCTTGTTGATATTGGGGGTACTGTTTCAAATTATAATACTATATATATATAATTTTTTTCTCGATTAATTAATTAGTAATTATTGTATATCTTTAATTAAGTTTCTCCTTTTGAACAGTTTCTGTACACCTACCTAATAATACCACAATTCCCACCACCAAACACAACACACAAATAGAACCTTCTTAGGATCCTATGTGGAATGAAGCTCCATGTATATGGTCCTAGTTGGATAGACAAACACCATGATTCTAATCATGTTACCATGACACTGAATGAGTATGAGATGTAATCAAAACGGAAGTGAAAGATGATGATTTCCGAGAAACATACTTCTCACCAGCATACACTCTTTTTGAAGGATTTTAATGGAAGAAACGTATACTTGTCCATCAGTAGATATGAAACTGCTTTGTTATGATGTATCTTTCATCTTTCTAACCCGCACTAGGTTTCTATTTTAATGTACTTTGGTACTTTTAATGAAAACGTAGTTCTATTTCCTTTTCGGACACTCCTACGTGATCCTCTATGTTAATTTTCATCTCTAGTTAATTACATGCTTATAAAAAAGCAACAAATGCGATTAGAAATGTGCATGACTTAGACAAGTACTAGGAGAGCAACGATGGAATCCCTAGCTAATTAAGAGATTATTAATTACCACAAGCACATACACACATAGATTATTAATTAATTAATTAATTAATTAATTAATTAATTAATTAATTAATATAAAAAGCTAAAGAGATGGTTGAAACTTGGAAGTACCTCTGATTCGCTTTCCAGTCTGAGTTTGCTAACCAGATACTTCAATAGCAACCGAACTGTCATCCTTCCGTCTCTGAAAGTTCACAAAGTCAAAAAGAAATGATGAGTTTCGCAGCTCCAAATACGATCAAATCATGATCAAAACGACATTGATTACACACTGACAAGAAAAGTCCCTAGCTGCTCAAGAAAGAGAGAGAAGAAACAAACAAACAAACAAACAAAAAATAATTAAAATCACTTACTTAATTCTAAGGTAGTTCTTAGGTATTTGAGGCAAGAATGGTTCTTTCGCCCTGCATTGTACAAATTAAAATCAAATGAATTCAATTTCGTCACAGAAATCAATTAAACTGCACAAGCGTAACTAGCTAGTTGCATGCATAAATATATAGCTGACGAAAAAAGAGAAAAATGTACTTGAAACTAAACAAAATGTAACAAACATATATAAAACAAAACAATAGTTATTAATTTGCATTATTAATTTTTGGCTTACTGATTTTGAGAAGCTTGTAACATGAACCATATTCCGGAATGAGGTCTTCTAGGAGGATCAACAACTCGAACTGTGACATCAGAGCTTGGTCCAGCCCCAGCCACGTCATATTGATCAAATCCAGAAGAAGAAGGAAAGGGATGAAAGGGTGTTGGAAAGTAAGACCCTAAGGGAGGCCTCAAAGAGGAGTAACAAGACTGTGATGAGGAGGAAGAAGAAGAAGGAGGAGGAAGAGTGAAAGAGGAAGAGGGCATAATAGGCATAGAATTATGAGGAAATAGTGGACCAAAAGCCCAGTTCATCTCTTGATGGCCAAAGGTTGAGGAAATTGGACCACTTGCCGTAGACATGGACATGGAAGAACACGACGTCGTTTGATGCTCAAAAAACAAAGAAGAAGAAACACCAAAACTAGACCCTCCTCCTCCTCTTCCTGATGCCACCACCGGAAAAACCGCCGCCGGAATCTCCGTGCTCCGCCGCGAAGGAAGCAAGTCCAACTCCACAAGCCCTGAACCGGTTGTTGTTGTTGTTGGATCGGTTCGATCACGGTCTTGTTGCTTTGTGCTTGTCAAACCTATGCTTAATTGAAGCCAGTTATTGTTGTTGTTGTTGCTGTTATTGTTGTTTAAATTTGCTCCTTTTTCTTCTTCTTCCTTTGAGGTTGAACCACCAGCTTCAGCTTCAGCTTCCTCGTTAGTGGTGGTGTTGTGTCTCGATGATTCTTCAGGCTCAGCCATCATGTGCCTCCTCACCACAAAATCAGATCCTAGTAAGCAATTGTAGCCTCCTTCAACTTCAACTTGGTTCATAGCACCACTCGTTGTTGTGTTACCGTAAATAACATAATCACCACCACCACTACTCCTATTTTGTTTCCCGTTTTGAGAAGGAACCATGGTCATATTGGACTCACCCCACAAACCAAACCAAACCCGATGATGATGTAGTAGCTGGACACGTGTCTGATCTCAACACAAGCCATAAGAAGATTGAGAAGAAGAGGAGAAACGGTTTGGAATCTGGGGTTTATATTGTGAAAAAGGTTTTGGAGTAGGAATTGCATAGTGGTTTTCCATCATCGATATCATGATCAATAAGGAAGAGAGTTAATAGTAACAAGAAAGCCATCAACTATGCAAATAATAATAATTCTCAGAAGCAGGTGCTGCAGCAGCCACAACAAAGGGAACTAAATAATTCTATCTTGCAAATCTCACTTTCCATTAATTCTCTTTGTTTGGAAGCTTGTGGGATAGAACTGTTTGCAGAAGCTATGAGGGAATGGAAAAAGAGAAAGAAAGAGAGAGAAAGAACACGAGAGATGGTGGTCTCTCTGTCAGTTGAATAAATAATTTATTTTATTATATTTTATATTTACATACATGTCTTTCAACATTATTCTAATGAGAGTTTATATATGTACAATGTCATTTGATAATTTTCTTAAACTTATAACAAGGATGACTATGTCATTAAAAAAATATATTACGTGCTCAAGATCATTATGTTGATAATGCGTTAATTAATCGAATATGAAGTAGCTTTGTTATCATTAAATTTTATAAAATGATGATCGTATAAAAATTATTCTCATGTAAGAATGACGTAATTAATTAAGTAGTTATGTGTTTAAGCATCGATTATTTTTAATTTTAGCAAAATCGAGAAATATGATTACTTTCTGGCCTTTTTTAAGAAAAAATAATAATTAATGTCTATTAATTGGTGTGTAATTTAATATGGGGGTGGACAAAGAGAAGGGTCCTGCCAGCAAACAGTTTTGGGCCATGTTCCGAGGAGAAAATGACTGCAAAGGGTCTCACCCTTTTTGTTATGTCCCTAAAAGTTCCTTTTTAGCCCTAATGACCTTCTGGTCGGTCACCCTAATTATTAACGATTAATTCCTGATAATAATTTGATAGCCAAAAATACTAGTAAAAGATTAATTATTAGACTAATTTTGTTTTTTGTAAATATATATCTCGAGTTATCTATCAGGCTAATTTTTTCAACTGTGGCAACTTTTAAAGATAAGTACTTGATAAATGGCTTGTTCTTCTCTCTTTTGAAAAAATATTCGTTCGTTGTCCTCTTCTGGTATATTTTTGCATGTTCATATTTTGAACTTTTTTGGTTTATATATTCAAGGTGATCCTGATCAATGGACTTATTCTGAACATTCAACTGCATGCTTTTGGAATAATGCAACTTTTGAAAATGTTGTTGTCAAAAGTTCACTTTTACAGTGACTCTTATTACAAGTTTTCGAAGAAGTAACTCTAAAGGTATAGTTTTAAAAAGAGTGGCATGGCAGCAATACAAAACTTAATTAGCCCACATATATTATTATTTCAGCTTCATATTGCCCATCCTTGTATATAATTAAAAATATGTGACACACAGGGTGCAGGAGATCATATTGTAATGAATCTGATCAGTGATCATGCAAAATGGTTACACAAAATCGTTGTTTAAAGAAAAAGGTATATTGAAATACTAAAAAGTTCAAATTAAATAATGAAGCAGCAGAGAGATCAAACAAAGTGCAGTTTTTTGGGTATTTTGTTGTTATGTGTGTTTTTTTTGGTTTTGCACTGGGAATTGGGGGAGGACATGGAGAGAGGAATATAACTAATTTAAGTGGGAGGGCATGATGACCTACCTGTCAAGAATGGCATAAAATAGAAAGACATATAATAAACAAGGGCAAAGGACACATTGGACACAAGTCATTAATTCATTATTAAGAGGCAATTATAAAGAAATAAATAGAATAGGAGTTTCATTTTGGGCATGCATGATGATGATGGTGTCTCCACACAACCCGAGAATCGAAACACTGCGACGTGGGCTTTTATTGTAAGACATTCGTTGCTAAAGCCATGTGCCTCCCACCCTCCTTGCATCTACTTGTACGGTATCTCTCTCTCTTAATTTGTGTGATTTTTTATACTATTTCTTGTGTTCCTTGGGAATGGCTTATCAGGACCAATATCAGTGTAGAGGCTCTTCAAAATCAATCTTCCATTATGAAGAATGGTCATCATACTCTCATATATAATGTTAAATTCTACTTACATCCACAAAAATTAATTATTGATATAATGATTCAAAAAGATAGACCTTCGGTTATTAGTGAAATTTGACATACTTGTTCAATAAGTACTTTGATTGGTTAGTTAAATTTTTCGACAAAAAGTTATTTATTAAAAAAGTCCTGATGTTAATAACTTCTTTGAGACTCAACTCACCTATTTTTTTTTTATTAAAACAAATTAGAAAACTATGGTCAAGTAGATATTTAAAGATGAAGAAGGAGCTTGGCTGACCCTTGCTGAAAAGCTGGCCATTTCTTTCCAGCCCATCTAACATGCTCTCCCTCTCTAAAGCAAAACAGCTTTATTTCGAAAGAGGGTTGAGGGGTCAATCAACCAAATTCCCTCGCTTAAAATATGCCTAAATTTTTTACAAAGTCTTTGACATGCCGGGCCAATTCCAACTCTTAGAACATTTGGACAAATTCTTAATATATAAGGATTTCCTAATAAACCTTACACATAAGTGTAGCACTAATCTAAGTCTATCATCCATTAATTAAAAAAATTGGGAAAGTTGGATATTTTTCAAATTTGGGGGTCTGTTTTGCACCTCCGGATCGGAATGGAATTGAATCTTCATCATGATTACTTTCATTTTCTATGTGATGCTTGTGTGAAATGCTGTAACCTCATTTTTTCTATAAAGAAAAAAGTGTTTGCCAAATGGAGAAAATAAGATATAATGTGTCATGCGCTTATAAAGGCAGCAACCAAAAGGGATGAGAAGCGTGACCTCTTGTGGCAGTGCATGGATTGGAATCAAAGGGACACTTGTTGATGATGGCGATATGTTTCTACCCTAAAATTTCACCCTCAAGATACTTACATATGTGCATCATGTGTAATTTAATTTCAGTGGAAATTAAATAAATAGACATAGACAACGCCCCTATTATTAATGTAACTTTTATTTTATTTAAAATACTCAAACCTAACAGTGCGTAAGAGTTTTTATATACACAAGAGTTTTACACTATAAAATATATAGCGTGTGAGTATCATTTGAATTATAAAAACAAAAAGGAAAGACGAGGATCTCCACTTTATCACCTGAAATTCTTCATAGTAATCATAAGAGTATATTTCACAAGCACACAAATCTTAATATATATCTTTAAGTGTGGACAAACTAAGTTAGACGTAAGTAGTTAATTTAAAATAATAATATAGTTGCAACCAATGAGGAGTTTATGGGTAAAAAAGTTGGCGCTGAAAACAACTTCAGATTAGGAGTTTGTCTTTTTGTGTTTTCTCCCTTATGCCTTTTTCCATCTTCCTTTCCCCATTTTTCATGATGAGTTTCTTCCATCTGTCACTTTTTCCAAATTACTAACCCTGGCTTCAACACATATTTGAATTATTTATTAACCATATATGAATTATGTAACGTCGGAGGAATTGAGAGAAGAAAAAAATTGTAGGAATGAATATGAATATCGTTGTGAGTATACGTAATAATCATGCATGGGATGGTGGCATGACTTTTAGTAATTGTAAGAGATTCCATGGGCTATGGTATGTGATATTTGATTTAGCACGGTACTATGGGAAGGGGACCAAAACAATGATAGCGTTTGCAATGTACATGTTCCCATTAGAGAAAGTGGGTTAGCTAGAGCTATGGTGTCTTTTTCCCACTTCGATAGATGAGTGGACAATTGAAGAGAGACAAGTTTCACTGTGTGTATATATATATATTTTATAATTTATATGCACAAAAAGAATTATGGCCTTTAATATCGTCATGATGCCATCATCAATACGACCATCATCACCAAACAAAAACCATCCATCCACACAAGAGAGTGAGTGAGGCCCAATTTAACACAACCATTGCTACATGACTAGTTCATTAGCCTCTTTGCAAAATTTTAACCTATAGTGTGATTGGCATTGACTATTATTGACTTTTGAGAAAAACGAAGAGAGTGTGTTAGTGTGTTTGCATGTGCATGTGTTATAATGAGTGGCGATGTCAGGCCATGCATGTGAGAGTGTGGGGGATAACTGTAAGTTGAGGAAACCGAGAGGGAAAAAAGAGAATATTGCATGGCTTATGGGGGTTTAAATTTGTCAGATTCGTGTGCACGGTCCACTTTTGGGCTTTAAGATAGGAGTGCCATGTGATATCGTAATTTATAGCCTAGTACTTTCAATCCACTAACGTTTCCTTTGGTCAACAAATGCTTCAAATTTGAAATATACTATACAACTTATTATTACATGCATGATTTAGTACATGAATACAAAGGCCTCGCCTAATAAGAATGTTGTTGAATGGGGTGTCACCACATTTTCTCCTAAATATTATACCTTTTTCTCATCACTATGTACACTCGTATGTATTTGAATTTGCCAAACTAAAAGGAAAACACTTTACCCTCAATCATCATGATCAGTAAAAACGAACTGCACTTTTTTTTAATTATTAAAATTTAATTAGAATCTATCACCAGCTTTGAAAAGACATTTTTTTTAAAAAATAATTATTTAATAACACTTCTTTTTGTGTATGAACATAGTTCACACACTATAATTATTATTTTAAAAATTTTATTTACAGAATTTTTTATTTGGTTGATTATATAAAATATTCATATTGTCAATATATGAAAATTAAAGTCTTATTACATTATAATTATTATTATCATTTGCCTTCCGTATCATGTTAGGCTTCGTTTGGTTTGGCGGAAAGTTGAGGAAAAAAAAAAGTCAATGAGAGACAAATTAGCACGTATATACAATTTTTTCCATCATTTCATTTTGATGAAAGGTACTTAGGAAAGAAATAAAAGTCTTAGTGTGAGTCGCATAAAAAGGTTGCCCCACCTCTCTTTTAATAAATATATTACTTTTAAATGAGGTAGTTAAAAAATTTATGAAAAGATAAATAAAAAAATAATTAAAATTATATTAAAAAGTGAGAATATCACTTATTTTAAGATATTTTTTTAAATACTAAAACTACATACGATTGTTAGAAGGAGTAAAAATCTTAAAACTAACTATAATTAAAAAATGAATGATAATAATAACCTATCTCCAAAATATTTTTTTTACTAAAATAATAATATATTACCATAGCTCATTTTTATTAAGGATTTCTTTTTTATTGTTTCGTGAATATTTTTCTACCATTTTCTACAACCAAATTAAAAGAAATAAGATCTCCTGCCAAACAACATTAAAAAAAGTATTTAACTTTCAATTTTTCTTTTTTAAT